TACCATCACTGCAACAAGGGACCCAGCCCCATCGTGAGCTGCCAGGGGCATTTCGACTCTCCCAGACACAGCTGAGTGCAGAGAGCCCTTTGGTTACCAACTTGTCTGTGGTGGTGCCCATGGTTACCAATCATTGCCCGCAGAGTGGCCTCATCCAGTTTCAAAAAGCCTGAGAGACGGGGCTTCGTCTTGGCTGTTCAGGCCACCATGAGGATATTTAGAGGTTGACTGGCCATGCAGACAGGTTTCCAAGCATCTAGAGGTCAGATTTGATTTCTTTATATTTAAATATAATCCAAGGAAAATGAGGTACCATTTTCATGAAATCACTATTTGGTAAAAATAACAAATGGAAAAGAAAGACCCAAAACAAGAAATGCAGAAATTAATATATACCGCATTAGGCCATCAAATCCTGACTCACATCCATGGCTCAAAGATTATACCCGTAGATGCCGCATTAAAACCAATTAGCTGTCGGCTGTTCGAAGTCCTGTGCTTACGCTGCTCCAGTTCAGCCATTCCCTTTTAGCAGCTGCTGCTTTTCCAGCTGATGAACGTGTGATTAGAGCTGAGCGAGAAGCGGCATGGGGCACATTCAAACACCCCCCTGTGGGGATCACCCCATCAGGATAGCTGCATCGAGGCTGGGAGCTGCGGAAAGAAAATAACCCCCTCTGTCCCTTGTGCGCATCTCTGATATAATTTATGTTGCTCTGGCAAAAACCAGGGCAAAACGCATTCGTGCGGAAGCACTGGACACACACACACAATGGATGAGCAGAGCCTGGCGACTGAGGGACAAAGCTGCGGCCAGTGATGAGAGTCCAAGCGATGGAGCCAAAATTGCTGGGAGTTTTGCTCAGAGATCCTTCTGTTGGGTTTCGGTGGCAAGCAGCTGGGTGTTTTTCAGCGTGGCATGTGCCAACTGCAGGTCTGCTCATTTTAGGGGTCACCTGGGGGCTGTGATCCTCCGCAGCAAACCTGCAGGCAGCAACGAGTGGGAAGGGTCCACTCAAGGTTCAAGTTTCCATGGGGGCTTGCCTCCTCCCCGCCGGCCCTGTGAGGGGCTGCTCTTGGGACGGGGAGCTCTGCTCCAGACCCCGCAGCAGCTCTCCCAGGACGGCTAGGGCTTCCTGCAGGCCCT